TCACTTTCCCGAGAAAAGATGTTTTGCCGCTAGTGGTGTAATTGCATTGTCTTCGATTTTGTTACGTCGCTGTCAAACAGATAATTAAAATTCGACAACAGAAAATCTGCCGTGCGGAAAAATGAATCGAGATGGGGAAACTGATAAACCGAGACTAGCAGTGTCGTAGGCAAACTAGAGCATGGGATTGCACTGTTGTCGATTAATTAATTCGAGTAATGACTAAAGCATTAAGAAAGTAAAATTTAACTGATCGCTCAAGCATAATAGAAGTCTTAAATAATTGTTTAAGGTACGTGGTAATACAATTTAAATTTAACACAAAGACAGGATTACTGTCTTTTTGTAAAGACTTAGATCAATATAACGTTATTTAAGTCGTTTTTATGACTTAAGTCTATTTTTTTACTTAAATCATGATAATCTCCAGGTTAAGTCAGTAAAATGATTTAAATCAATATAATTACCCTCAAGTCAAGACAACCAGAATTCAATTTAAGTACCTTTAAAACCACATAAAATAAAACGGTTAATTTTGAGAATAACTACCCAAGTAACAAAATTCCGACTTCCGACTAGTTTTGACTACGCGCCACGTTGAAATTGGTACTTTTCCCTACCCTATGCATACCCAAACCTCAAATTACGTAGCCAAAACGTCGCTACGACGTTGCACTTAAACAGTTGTATATTTTGACCCTTAACAACGTTAGTAAACGTTGTAGGGCACAACGTCAGAAGTTGGATTTTATACCGTTGTCATTACGTCGCCAGACGGCATGTTTATTGTACTACAGAATAACAAACGTAGTACAACATTGTGCAACGTACTTTTAAATTACGAGTGCAAGTACGTGCTATCTACAACGTAATACAACGTTTCATTAAACGACTCAAAGCAATTATAACCAATCACTACGTTGGATTATTGCGACGAGCGCGACGATATCGATTTTTGTTGTGGAAGCGGAACTATCTACACCTAACCTCAAAAAATTCTGTACTGTACTATCACAGAGCAATTGGTTATTTTTTCTGTTGTACTTACTGTGTAAAGCGAAAAGAAGATGTATAGGAAAAAAGTATATAAATACTCTACAACTTTTTATAGAAAAAGGAAAAAGTATTTAGAAGAAAGTCAGCGAGCAAGTCAGTATCCGAAAAATGAAATGGAAATAACGAGTTTAGGTTCGTCATCCATATCCTCGCAATCATGTATCGAAGGAACGTCCACTTCAATTTTGAAAAGTAATAGTGCTACTAGTGGTAGCTTATCATCAACAGATACTATAGAAATAAATAACAGTACACCTGAAGCCCATACAACAGAGGAATGCAATGAGAATAATGACCCTCCAGAAGAGCAGTCAACTGAAGTTCAGCTTATAAATTGAAGAGAATATTAGATTTTAATTTTCAAATGAGTGATAAAATCAACAATACTTCCTGTACGGCTTTTTTAACAATAAATAAATAGAAATACTGATCTAATGTCAGCGATCTTATTAACGAGTATGTGACCACCACCACCAAAGGATCCCAGCTTTCTTCTTTTCTAGATGTCGGTAGGATTCAGAGGTTTTATTTCGTCAAAGCAGGTGTCAATTGAAGTTTGTTCCTCTAATTTGTATGTAAGCATTCAGAACGTCAAAATTAGTGGTAGGAATTTTCAATTAGTAGAAAAAATTAACAAACTCTTAACGTTTCCACTAATTATACTTAATGCAAACTAAAAAGTATAAAGTGTAAAGCTTCATTCAGAACCTCGCAATTAGTGGAATAAATTAGTGGTTTCAATTAGCGTAGAAGTTTGTTCCTCTAATTCATTAGCGTAACTAGCAATTTATCCTGGGGTGGGCCGAGGGGGGGGGGCACAGCCCATGGGGGGCCTAGGGCTTTTGTTTTTTTTTAATTGAAAAATAGTTTTAATAAAAATATTTTTTGAATAAAACGTTTACATGAATTTCTCTATCAATAAATTTCATAGACTTGGTTATCAAACCGTGTTCCCATTACTTAAATACCTACAAATTTTCTAAAAAAATAAAAACCACATTTTTTGAACACAACAAAATGATATTATAAACTAAACAAAACTAGAAAACGTCATTTTTACTGCATCACAAGCAAATAAAAATTAATACATAGCCAAGATTTATAGTTCAGGATTTCTCTGGGGGGTGCCCAGCAGTACCTAGGGAGGGCCCGGGGGTGCCGGGCCCTGTAGTTACGCCAATGCTCTAATTTGAATGTAAGCATTCAGAACGTAAAAATTAGTGATAGAAATTTTCAATTAGTGGAAAAAGTTAACAAACTTTTGACTTTTACACTAATTATACTTCAAAATTTGCGAGGAATTTTGGCCTTGGATTATCATCCGTCAAGAGGAAATGCGTTTAGAAACTAAAAGTTTATTGTTTTATAAATATTAGGCTTTCTCTATGGATACAACTGATTACTGCAAGCTGATGCTAGGATATTCTAATAATTTTAATTTTGTTTTTTAGACATTGTGAATGATCGTAATCTAAAAAGTATAAAGTGTAACTGAAACCACTAATTTATTCCACTAATTGCGAGGTTTTGAATGAAACTTAAGAAAGAATAATTAAAAAATAGTAAAATTTAAAAAATACTAATATTAAAATATTTGACTTCGTTTATTTTTGTTGTTAAGATCGGAATTTACTTTCTCTTTAATAATCATAACCTTAGTAAAAAGCTACAAAATATCGAAACAATCTTCTTGAAAGGAAACTGAAACATTTTTCTTTTTCTTTCCCTTAAATTGACTTTGATTCTTCTTGGTCTCTTTTAGAAAGCATAATGAAAGCATGTCGAGTGACGAACAAAAGTAAATGGATCTAATTTCAACCCCTGCAGATGATAGGATAAAGTAAAAATCAATTTTGATAAAGAAATAATTCCGCGGTTATCTTCACCAAAGTCCGAGAAAGAGAAGATATTTTTATCTTTCGCGTATCAATATTATTTCTTGGTTAGAGCTAAAATACTTGTACGGCTTTGTATTCGTTATTGGCTAGATATCGAATTAGGATTTTTCACGAAAAGCCTGAGCTTTTTAAAGAAAGATTACCTATTATTTGCGGTAACAATACGATGAAATAAATGAAATATTACTCCACCGTAACAGAAATTGGATTTGTATTATTCGAAATAAATGGAGTAAATTAATTGAATGAAATAAACACATTGGGATAAAGAAAAGTGCTTGACTACTAAACATTATTACAAAAAATGCCGAATTTTGAATAACAATATGCTTAGAAAAAGACTTATGAAAAGCATTTATATATTTCAAAAATTTCAAGTATGATGATGTAACTAGAATTTTCTTGTTTCTTTGAAACTCTACAACAGCAGTAATAGAAAGTTTTTTTAATAAAAATAATAAATAATAATTTGGATTGTGATATAAATAATGGTACCTAGTTAGTTAGTTTCACGCATAATAGTGCCCTACGTAATATAGTACCCTAGGTTATGTTCTGTTCTGTTCTGTTTAATCAAAGGACTGCAATTCAAAGGGGCATTTATTTTGTACTCCTTGTGCATCACCCCTGGAGGTCACGCATCGCCTAAGCAACCAGGCGTCTTAATTTAGAGAAAAGAGACAGCAACATCACTTACACGTCCTGCTAATCGGCCACACTGTAAGCCAAACTACTCCCAGAATGGGCTTAACGATTGTCTGAAGGCTCACAGAGCAACTCTGGGACAGCTCTTGTTCGTGTTTACAGTCATTGCAATGTAGTGTGTAGTGTACCTTCACTTTTTGTTACCTGTTCTTATTTAAGTTCAAGTTCAAATACTGCTTCTTGAATCTCCAAAATTGCAAAGTTTGTTCAACCTATTTCCGACATCACTTGCGTCATACTCTAGTACTTCTAAACGGGTAAGGTCTTTTCTATGGTCATGTATTTGATTAAACTTGCCATATCAGTATGACAGAAAACAAGATGGACACAAAACAAGATGCCTTCTTCGATGTTTGAAGACAGGACGTATTGATTACGTATTGATTACCCCAAACATGTTCTGCAACCAAATTTGTAATAACATCAAAATCAGTCAAAGTCGCAGTTTTTGAGATAAAAAAATATCAAGTATGGGCGGCTATACGTGCCTCCCAGCGCCAATTTTTTTTATTCAATTATTGTTATCTGAAGATCTCTAGGTGTTACCATTTTTTGCTTTTGCAGTTTATTTACTGTACGGTTTTATGTAGAGATAATACTTGGTTCTCATATCTTCAGTGCCTTTAAATGGCGTTTTTTGGATTGTTCCATATTATACGGGATGCCCAAGTAACATCACTTGATAATCTCTTGATTCCACGTTAGCAAGGCTTTTGTAAATGCAGTTCGTTTAATGTAGAGCCTTTTTTAGTTTCAAGAAGATTTTTATTAAGAAAATGACTATTGTTATGGAATATTAATACGGTTTAAAAGTATTTCTTTAAACTACTACTCATAATAATATATATCTTCTAAATTAAATAATATCGTTAAATAAAACTAGTAAATATATATTAGTTTTAAACATCTGTTGATGCTACAATGTTTAGAGTAACTAAAAGTAGTTATTCTGGGCGCCGGGCCACAGCGGCATCCAAGGCAATGAAAAAGCTGATGAACTAGCTAGGCAAGCATCATCGGCATCCTATCTTGGTCCAGAAACAATGCTGGTAATTCCCAAATGAATGGCCCGTAGTGCACTAAAACTCTGGATCAGGGAAAAGCAGAATGTTCACTGGAGAAAGACAGCGGCATAGGTATAGCAAGGCCTTTATCCAAGGACCTAGCTCTAAAACTACAAAGGATCTCTTAGTAGGAATAAAGTGCGGATTACAACAAGTTCCTTGACAGGACATATGGCTGTGAAGTGATACCTGAAAAAAGCTCAACCTGTATTAAAGATCTTTGCTGCAGACTTTGCGATATTGCGCATTAAGGTCCTGAAACAGCGGGGCACATGATATGGTACTGCGAGACTCTGGATCTCAAGCGACACTTTTTGGGAAAGCAAGGCTAGAACTGGAGGAACCATACTCCCATCCTATCAAGGACCTGCATAAGTTGGTGCACGGTGCAGGGATAGGAGAATGGGTGCAAACATAGAAAGGGGACAAACACACTAGGCATCACAGGTCGCAGTGTTTCCGGCAGAGGACGGCCCCTTATTATTGAAAAAAATTAAAGTGTTTTGGTGTAATGTGGTAAATTAGTGTTTTCATTTTGCTACTGTAACAACAGAGGTTCTAACCCCAAATGTAAATACTTGATTATCGAAATATTTTTATTTCAAAACAATTGCCAATCTACTGTTTGTAATATATCTAAATTTCAGTATAATTTAGACTACTGCTGTCGGCTATGCAAAGCTCTATTTATAAATTGTCTTTACTCCCGTTGCTCTATATTTCAGACTATTAAATTGATTTTAATAGTAACCTATATTTTAAAACTAAATTAAAGTGGTCTACCAATATAGGCAATAGATTTAAATCACATTGTTATATAACTCTCGTTGACAAAATAAATAGATGCATCTATATCTGCATATAAAATAGCCAACCAACATCAATATCTTTAATTGAATATAACTAATGAGCAAATAGCCTTTTTCAATTCAGGGAAAAGTGTGTTATTTTTTATATTAATGTCTTGAAAACGTTCAACCATTCAACAATAATTATAGTCCAATTGCGCTACAGTTTGATTAAATTCATTATTATTCCTTATTATCCAGTAGAAAAAACTGTAATATATTATAATGTAAACAGCAATATATCAACTAATTATTTAGAGCGTTTATTGCAATCTGATAAAATATATATGAATAATATGTAACAGCAAAATTGAAGCAATAAATTTGGAGGCTTTTAAAACATATTATACGCTACACTGTTTTGAATAATTGCCATAAATCAAAAGTATACAAGCACTGCATGATTTTTTATACGCAATGCCGTTTATTATGTTATCTTCAATCGACAAATAAATAAGCTTATGTAAACTACACCTGAATCATTTTACTTGGTAATTTCTTAAATCGGTTCATATAAATACCAGGAATGCCAGCCATATAAAGATATACTGTTTAAAGCTGGTTAAGTTTTAGTTACAACGCACCCTGATGTAGCCGATTTAAGAAATGGTGTAGTGTAACATAATTTACTAGCGTGTACCCGCGACTTCGTTCGCGTCGAATTAATCATTTGTAATGGTCGTCTAATAGACATATTTTTGTTTAAACGCTCTTGCGAAAAATATTGAAATGTCTAAAAAAATTATATAGAAAACTTGGTAATATTTGAGGGGTAGTTTCATCTCGTTGGGATTTGACTTTTAAAAAATCCGTTTGCCAAAAATAAGCTTTTTACGTCAAGCAGTTTAAGCAGAATCGTGGTTGATCAATTATACCCAACTTTTTGGAACACCCTGTATGACTTTTTAAAAAAAATTCAAAATATGTAAAAACCAAAATAAATTATGCATGTCCAAGCGTTTTCCCGAAAGACTAACCGTTTTTTAAATAACAAACAATCACAAATCGCAACAACGCAAACAATCACAACGCTCCTCAAATATTACAAATATTTGAGGAGCGTTTCACCCTCTTGGAATTTGAGATTCGAGAAACCCCTCCTTATTGAACCTCTACACCCCACAGTCAATCCGTTTGCCAAAAATCAGCTTTAAAAGTCAAGCAGTTTAAGCAGAATCGTGATTATTCAATGGACATATTTTATGAAACACCCTGTAAAAATTTTTAAAAAATCTTAAAATATGTAAAACAACAATTAAAAATTATATAGAAAACTTGGTTGTAAGGTGTAAATATGGTGATTTGTGTTTGGTGTAATGTGGTGATTTGAGGGGTAGTTTCATAATAAAATATACGTGTTTAAGAGTTTTTCCGAAAAACTCGCCGATTTTTAAATAAAAAAAATTCTAATATTTGAGGGGTGGTTAGGATTAATTAGACCGTTTAATTAATTAGACCCCTTAGGACTAATTAGACCCCTTAGAATTCGAGTTTCGAAAAATCCCTTCTTACCGAACTTCTACCCCCTAAAGTCAATCCGTTTTCCAAAAATCAGCTTTTTACGTCAAGCGCTTTAAGCAGGATCGTGATTAATCAATGACCAGATTTTTCGAAACTCCCTGTATACATTTTTAAAAAATCTTAAAATATGCAAAGAAACAAAATAGAATATACGTGTTTAAGCGTTTTTTCGGAAACTTTACCGTTTTTTTAAATAAAATATATTGTAATATTTGAGGGGTGGTTTCGCCCTCTTGGAACTGGAATTTCGAAGAAGCCCTTCTTTACGAACCTCTACACCCTAGAATCAACCTGTATGCCAAAATAGAGCTTCTTACGTTGAGTGGTTTGTGCAGAATCGTGATTAATCAGTGAGTCGCTAAAGGATTTTATACATATATTAGTATAGATAAATATTTAAAATAGACCAGGCAATTATTTTTGATACCTTTTGATAATCATATTTATTTCTCTGGCTTAAAAGTCAGCACAAGAATCAATTCTGAAAAGTAATGTTAAAGGCGTTGGAAAATTTTTTATTATAGCATAATATCTTTAAATATCTCAAAAACCAAAGCATTTAAACATATTAAACCCTTATAATAAATGCCTTATTTTATGCCCAAGAATTCAAAAATGAAATAAAATACCGGGTGTTCCATAAGAAAAAATATACCTTTGGTATGGATCTTAGTTCTGACACACCCTGTACATTTGAAATCGTAAAAAAACATTCTTCTGTTGATGGTGAATATGTTTAAGAAACTAGAGATTTGTAATTATAAATATGTTATTTATTTAAACTTTTATCTTAGTTTAAATAATGAGTGAAAATATACAAAAAGAAGGAAAAAATAGTAGTCTTCTACTAATGTAAACTACTACAATAGTGTAATTGCCTTCCAGCATCATCAGTACCAGTAAGGAATTTATAAAAATATATAATATTTAGTTTTTACCCTATTCTGTCACATTTTAATGAGCATCGTAGGTATTCTGCGCTCCGAAACAAAATATACCGGTACCCTAAAATTGTTGTGTTTGTTTGGAGAATGATTCGTAAAAAAAACATATTTCATTAACGTTTAATAGATAGGTATCTCGTGATTTAAACAAAATTTTCAAGAATATCAGTTATAACCTTGTACTAAACTGCCACCTGGAAAGGTCGGGTATTTATGTAATTTCATGTAAAGATCGTAATCAGAAATATGGTGGGCAAAGTAGAAGATCATTATTAACTAAATTTAAAGAATAGGCTCAAATAACATATGGTAGACCGGATAAATGTTGTTTTGCTCAACATATTGTTGATAAAGATCATTGTATAGATATTAATAATTTAAAATTAATTAAATAAGTCTCAAATTACAGGCAATTAGAAGCATATGATTGCGTCAAAATAATAAATGTAAAGCTAATATGATTTTAGTTTAACCCTGCACAACTTTTATTTGAACTTTTTTTCTAGTTCCTACCGTTTCTCCGAAATTTTGAAAAAATAATTTTATTTATTTCTCCCCTTCACCGACACAACGAAAAATATTGTTAATTATTAAAATAACAAAAACAATTACAATGAATTGATCTGTCAACTAACTGAAAAAAATCATGAAAAACCGATAAACAAAAGAGAGAGCAAAGCTAACTATAATAAGGATAACTAACAGGAAGCGTCGCTATATAGTGCAGATATCAAAAAGAGCGTACCAGATAAATGCAATTTTTGTTTTATGTTACACAAAACTGTTCATGATTCTCCTATACAGGTATATAAAATACTATTTTCCAAAATCATTCAAATCAAAATAATATGTTAATAATATTGGATCAGTTCTAATATTTAAGTTTTGTAAACGAAAATATTTAACAAATTTACAACTAAGTTTTAGCGAAACAAATATTATGTTAAGGGTAACACAAAACTGATCAAGTTTATATTGGACCGAGGCGTTTGCTCCAACGTTTTATTGCAAAACCGAAGATCGATCTCCTTTTAAATAAAAGTCTATAAGAAAAGTTATGAATTTTTATCCCACTTTCGGATAGCTATACGCTTTATTTCAGCTAATAAAAATTCCGCTGTTGAAATAAAAGGTACACTCATAAAATATCCATAAAATAATGATTTATTGCTTTCGTTCGTTAGAGAAAAAGCTACAGAGCCCCGGGAAGCGGAACTATAGAAATAGTCTTAATATACAAACTTTAATTAAGATAGAAATCTTATATAACGATTAACAGTAGCTAGCTAAAAACTTTTACCAATTATAATAACAGATGGTAAAGTATTACTACAAAACCATAAAATATGCTAGTAAAATGAGGTATATTTTCAATTAAAATTACTTAATAATTTCCTTTCAAGACATATTATTTTATTTTAACAAACAGTATTGTCATATTATGTCATGTACATTTACCATGATTATAAACATGGCAATAAACAAAAGATTTTATGTATATCAAAAAGACCAAACAATATTAAAAACTATATCATTTTTGGTAGATATTTTGTCTTACTCCTCCGCAAACAATTCTTCTTCTTCTTCTTCTTCTTCTTCTTCTTCTTCTTCTTCTTCTTCTTCTTCTTCTTCTTCTTCTTCTTCTTCTTCTTCTTCTTCTTCTTCTTCTTCTTCTTCTTCTTCTTCTTCTTCTTCTTCTTCTTCTTCTTCTTCTTCTTCTTCTTCTTCTTCTTCTTCTTCTTCTTCTTCTTCTTCTTCTTCTTCTTCTTCTTCTTCTTCTTCTTCTTCTTCTTCTTCTTCTTCTTCTTCTTCTTCTTCTTCTTCTTCTTCTTCTTCTTCTTCTTCTTCTTCTTCTTCTTCTTCTTCTTCTTCTTCTTCTTCTTCTTCTTCTTCTTCTTCTTCTTCTTCTTCTTCTTCTTCTTCTTCTTCTTCTTCTTCTTCTTCTTCTTCTTCTTCTTCTTCTTCTTCTTCTTCTTCTTCTTCTTCTTCTTCTTCTTCTTCTTCTTCTTCTTCTTCTTCTTCTTCTTCTTCTTCTTCTTCTTCTTCTTCTTCTTCTTTTAATGGCTGTTCTTCCAAACCAACGACGCAGATCTTTAAGCCAGGAGTTTTGCCTTTTTCCCATTGATCTCCTGCCCTCAAATTTACCTTCAATGACCAGTCTGAGTACCTCGTATCGTGCACCCCTCATAATGTGACCGACATACTGCACCTTCCTTTCCTTAGCTGTTTAAAGGAGCTCTTTATCTCTGCCTATCCGCCTGAGCACCTCCTCATTCGTTACTCTATCCATCAAGAAAACGCACAGCATACAGGTACATCTCAAAATCGTTAATGCGATTTTCTAATATCTGATTGAGTGTCCAACTCTCAGAGCCGTAGAGAAATACTGAAAAGATGTAGCAATTTTTATTCAATTATACGGGACTTATACTTACTACTGGACTATCGACTTATCACTCCAATCTGAAAAAGCTGCAGAAAGGCAACAAAAGAATGACTAACTTGCTAAGATTAAAGGACAGCAGCACTGGACGAGTTTTAACATCCACAGAGGAAAAAATAGCACGCTGGCATGAGCACTTCACTGAAATTGTTGGTATTACAAATGGTTGAATTTATGGATAATAACCCTTCATCAGTGCCACCTCCAACCACAAACGATAACCCATACGGAATAAATACAGCTATACAAAAACGTAGATAAAATAGCTATTAGATCATTAAACAACGGTAAGTTGGCCCCGACAATTTACCTTTAGAATTCAGAAGTATTCCAAATTGATATCAACCTACTCACTGACTTACTTCATCCTTTCATAGAGTCTTCATGAACCTCTGAGAATATCATTAACGACTGGAAGGATGGCCTCATAATATAATATAATAACTCCCGTATATAGCGTTTGACGCCTTGGGAGTAGCAAGGTACAGCTTACTATGCTAGAGTCATTCGGTATACAAGGAAGTGAAGTGTGGCTAGCACTACGCTTCAACCGCCTATTATTACCTCAGGATTGTGAATCCCAAGTACTCATTTAAGGCTAAGTCGACCTAGGTACCCAAACTATTTTTATTTTAATAAAAATAGTCGGTTGATGAAATGCCGGGTGTAGGATTCGAACCCACAACCTTGAGATTGGTAGACGAGAGCCTGTACCTCTACGCCACCGGGCCTCATAATTAAGATCCCAAAGAAAGGTGGTCTCTCGGAATGCCATAATTGGAGAGGCATTACATTATTGAACACTAAATAAAATCCTTGCTAGGATCATGCTTGAAAGGTTGTCGAAACATATTTCTTTACCTCTATATATTCTTTACCTCATTTTCGTCCAGAACAAGCAGGATTTAGGCCTCAGCGATCGTGTGTGGATCACATAAATACACTCCGTATTAGTCATGGAACAATTTTGAGCGTGCGTTTGATAGCCTAAAGCACCAATCTCTTTGACCAGCCTTCAGCAGAGCTGGTATTCCTAAAAAATTGTATGAATCATAAAGGCGCTATATAGTGAGACTCAATGTGCAGTCTTGCATAAGAGTCAACGGAGTGAATCCATCAACATTTGAAATGATGGGGTAAGGTAGGGTTGCGTCTTGTCGCCATTCTGATATAAAAAATCTGATATTTTAAAGAGAACAACTTCCAGGAATCATTGTGGAATATCGTGGACACCTTTAGCATGAATACTAGAAGATCTCAGTTATGTAGATGGCATCTGTCTCCTTTCTCATAGTCACGCGGATATGGCATCAAAACTACTTGACTTGATAAAGGAAGCTCGAATTGCAGATCTTAAGGTCAATATTAAAAAAAAATAGATGAGAGCTTGTACCAACAACTGCGCTCCGTTTTTCATTGGAACAACACCTATAGAGGAGGTAAATAATTTTACTTAGGTACTTATAGGTAGTGTATATCTCAAATAACGAAGGCACAGAGCAAGATATCATAAATATAATAAACAAGGCGAGAATAAAATTTGGAATGCTCAACAATATTTGGAGTTCTAGACAATACTTTCAACTTACTAAACTTAAAATTTTCCATTCGAATGTCAGGTCAGTATTGATGTATGGTGCAGAAACCTGGAAAATGACATAGCCAATAATTAACAAACTCCAAGTTTTCATAAACAGCTGTCTGCGAAAAATTGTAAGAATATTCTGACCACACTATCAAACACTATCAGAAATAAGGATTTATGGAGCTTGACCAACCAGAAGCAGGTGTATAATGAGATCAAACTTAGGAAATGGAGGTGGATTGGTTACACTTTAAGGCGAAGCGGCAACAACATCACTGGCAAAGCTATTGAGTGGAATCCAGAAGGCAGTAGAAGAACTAGTCGTCCAAAACATAAATGGCAAAGAACAATTAAAAAGGATATTGAAGCAGTAAGCCGATCATGGCGAGATGTAAAATCAATTGCCAACAACCGAACCCGCTGGAGAGCGTTTGTTGAAACCCTATGCTTCACGTAGGAGTAAAGGACAAAATGAAATATACTTACTACTTTATAGAATATCACTTTCACTATACGGTTAAATACATTTCGGCGAAATTAATAGGATAATAATAAATAATTAGGATGTCAAAAAAATGTCAAACAATATACGTCATATATTTCAAAGTATTCAGGTATTTTAATGTGTCCCTCTAGTCCCTTCTGTAAGTGTCTTCTACACAACATTATTTCCGACCTGAATGCAAATTTCCGGTATCTTTTACTCGTACACAAAAAAATCCATTGACCCAAATAAAACGCCCCTAGACAACCACTCCGATCTTCTCCTACTATACAAGGGCGTCCCAGACTTTTTCATCTCTCTGTAGGCGCTGCGTATCTAGACGATTTCGAGGTCTTCGAATGAAAGGCGTTCGTTTTATTACTTTACTATTAGGAGAGTACCGAAACACCTTGCCTTTTCGAGTAGTTCCGTTGTTCGGGAGATCTGCGACAAGGCGACCGGTGAAGTTTCGAGACGATTGTGGAAGCGGAATAGGAACGAAATTTATAGGTAGTTTTGTAGGGTGCAGAGGAGATGTTGTTAGACGGAGTTTTAAGAAACGGAAATATACTAAGGCTACCTGATTTTAAAATTCAGATAACAAACCAAATCATAAACTTCTTGTAATAGTAGGATACTTTAATTACTCCTTGATTCCACAAGCACATGATATTTATATAAAGGTACGAGGGTGGAGCCTCTCATAGGACGCGAAGTCTCCGAGGAGAACTTATCCGGTTTTGTATTGAATGAAATTTTGTGAGGACTCATGTAGTAATATTTTATGAGCACTTTTTTAAAAATATAGAGAATTCTACAGAGATAGTTCCAAACAAAAAATTACCACATTCAAAACTTGGCAGTTTCTTTTAGTATATGGAACACCGGCCTACTAATATTAATTTGATTTTCATTCTTAGGAGAAAATGAGTTAACGGTGAGTGAGACGTATATGCTAAAAATGTATGGGTCTCACATATTTAACATTTTCTAAAATGGAAAAACAATTTCTTAAACTGTCAGCCATAAAAAATCCTAAATGTCTCATTATAAAAGCATAAACCCTTAAATTCGAATTTATCCGGTATAGCCCCAGATCTCGTGGGCTGATACAAATAATCGAAATTGTACTTTTAAATTCAACTTAAGCTGGCCCAAAAAGTGTTCAATAGTATACAGGGTGACCATAGGACCTAGTTAACTATTGACATTTTGGTCACCTTTAAATAGCAAAATTACTCTTTTATTCTGAAATGTAAACACCCACTATATATATTTTGATATTCATGATGGTCAATGATAACTATTCAACCAATATCTGAATAAGGCTGCTTTACTACCTCTCACAAAGAGTATTTTCCATTTTATGATTTCAGTGTCAGAAGTAGAAATTTGATCTATTGTGAATAACAGAAATTATTTACTGTTTGTGTTTGTGTAGTAAAAAATAAAAGAAAAAAAAAAAAAAAAAAAAAAAAATAATGTTTTTAATTTTTAATTTGCCCAAAATTGGATACTTACTCTCTCTCCGATTGAGAAATTGATGATGATTTGTCTTAATTGGTGATAGCAGCTGTGGCCATCAGTCATTAAGTGTAATAGAATACTTTATAGCTTAAATTTTAAATGTTCCTAATTTATCTAGACTTGATTTTTTTTATGGTGGACAGGTATGATAGTTAATAAGATAGATATTCTGCGAACAGTCAGAACAAAACTATTGTCGACAATATGAGGGAAACGATTGTGACTGTTTTTCGAAGTAGAAACTTCCGATGTTAATTGAGTTTTAAACAACCCCCTCCCCCCCC